CAGATGAGAATCATGTCTCCTCATTGAGCTTGATGGATGGCAGTGGAAGGGAGTGCTGTCTTCTTTGGAATGTAGTCTGCAAATGTTTTTTCCTACCAAATCCCACAGCAATTCTCTCTGACTAATTATCTTTCTCAGCCTTAAATATTTCAGCATTGTCTTTATCAGCACAGCCTCATGTTTCCAGATGTTGGCAGCTGAATCATCCTTCCCATTGGAAAACTTGGTGGGTAATATCTTGATCTCTGGCTTTTATATCTTAGCCCTAACACACAATGTATATAACTACACCTTGTGTTAAGTTTTGTAGTGTGTTAGTAGATAAAATGAACATTGTATGTTTATTATCCTTTAAAGTATGTAGAAATGAAAACTTTCAGGGCTTTAGAATATATATGGAGAGAGGTAGGGATCGGTATAGAGCACTGTAATAGTCCAGCTACATTGTCTGCTGTGTAAAATGCACAAAAATCACTCCATCCTCTGGGAATTTTCTGACCCCTGGAGGGGCCCAGAGTAGCTGGTTAATTCTGTTCCTCTTGTTGATCTTGCACTACAATGCAAGAGGTTCAGAGTGATTTCTTAGTGTTGCAATTATCGAGCAATCAAATAAAAAAGCAAAACAAAACCACTGAACCCAAATAACCCAACATGGTTATTGAAGTGCTTAAATTTCTATTATCCCAAATACAGTGTCAGCAAAATACTGTTCTATCTTTCCTTATTGCAGTTCAGTCCTCAGTGGCCAGAAGCAAGGAGGGCTTTTTAAAGAGATGACTTTCAGTTGTACTGCCATAAAATCACTGATCAATGGAAAGTGTGCCTGCCCTGCAGTATCGATCCTTCCTTTTGTACACGGCCTGCTTCTTTTCCTGAGAGGGCTCCTATGTTAGCACATTTTGAGGAATCATAAAACTTCTACAGGAGGTGATTGTATCATTGGATAATCCCAAAAGTTGGGTTCTGCCTGGTTCTCTTGCATGGAAATCACTAAAATGGGTTTATTTCACTAGCTGCTTTGTTTGCAGAACTTCTGTCAGTGTCCATTCATGCTGCTTGGGTTCTGGTTTTGTTGGTTTATGTTAAAACCTGGAGTTTTCAATGCACATGAAGTGTGAAACCATAGTTGGATAATACTATGGCACTGGCAGCACAAACAGCTCAAAGAGTTACTACCCCTGGTCACCTCCCTGAGTTCTTACTGCCCTTGCCAGCTGGTTGCTCCAAACTGAGCCAAATCTATTAGTTTGAGGAGTGTGTCTGTGAACCATGTTGTTAAACCAGTCCTGTCAGGATTGCTGTCAATCCTGTGCTGTCAGGGCAGGGGGTAGAGAGCCTCATCCCACGCTCCGTCAGCCTGGCACTACAGTCTAGAGCTCCAGAATAAGCAAGTGTAGAACTTTACCACTTACTTACATCTCTAAATTTCAGGTAACTTCTTGGTTTGTTCCACTGCCATAATCAGCAATGACTAGCCAGAACTGTATTTAAAAACCCCAATAGCCCATCTGAAACTGGAATTGAATAGTGTCTTGCTGTTGTGTTCCTCTGCACACTGATTCTCCTAATGATGTATAGGTCCTCCAAAAACTCATTATGTTTAGCATCAAAATATTATTTAGTACATACTGAGACACAATAGAGTGTCAAATTAATTTCTTAGATTATGGGGCAGATTGGTCCATGCAAAAGAATGGGACATTGTTTCAGCTGTTAGCTGCTTTTGTGCTAATGACACGAGGCACAATGTACCTTTCAGTGCAGGGAATAAATCATCATCCACATAAATAACACTGCAGTCTGTTTTTAACGTCTAGTAGAGTGTCAGGCTTTTTCCTACAGAAAACAGAAATGCTTGTGAAATGTGTTTCACTCTGTTCCACAAATGCACATTTTTAGGGCTTAGGGGAAAATGATAGTAGAAATCTTACCCAATCAGGAGTTTCAGTGTTTTAATTGCATTATGTGATGCACACATAAAGATTAAAAAAAAACCACAAAACAAACACATAAAAAAAAACCAAAAAAAAAAAAACAACAAAAAAAACCCACAAACAAACAAAAGAACCCCAACACCAGGATTTCCTTGAAGTAGCAAGGAAAAAGAGCATCTCATTTAAAATTACACTGTATAGTCGTAAACAGAGCCAGGCTGAGAGGAAAATGAAACAGCCAAACCCTGAGATGGGCTCTCATCTTTTAGCCTGTGATGAACTGTACTCATGTTCACAGGCTCAGGTTCAGCAGAAGGATTCACAAGGCATGTGGCCCTATGTTGTACTGAACCTCTCTTTCTACAGTTCAGTTAGTGCATCTGAACTCCATGTGTGTGTCTGCCTTATTTGTTACATCTCTTTGCTGTGGAAATGAAGTGATAGCTCCCCTCCACTGAATGTCATTCCTGTCATCCAAATTCCAGCCTTGGCCAGAGACATCACCAGTCAGTGTTATTTGCTACCTGGGAAATAAGTTTCAGTCTCATATTCCTATCTGCCATTGTACTTTCAGCTCTGATACAGACCTGATACAGCAGCCATAGAGAATTAATTCCCATTTCATTCTTCACTGAGTAAACCATTAGTTATTTAACAGGTCTACCTGTGGAATTACACAGTTGTCAATTCAGTGTAACAGCAGGCTCTGGGATGGGTATGGATATTTTAGCAGTAATTACTTGCAGCATTAATGTGGAGTTCACAGACACTATATACCCTTCAGGATGAATTTACCATTGGTGTGTGTGGCAGAAAAGCATGTTTGACTCCCAGAAATGGAGACAACAGGAGCCCATGTTTAGGAAATGGAACTGTAGTCAACTGATTATTTTAGTTTTTGCCTGTCCTTGCAAAACTCTGATGGGCTCCACAGCAGGACTTGCCCAGTAGTCACGACTTGGGTTGTCCTAACTAGTTAATCACAGTTTTCCAATCTATGTGGGCTGAGAAACAAATGCAGGTGACCAGGTAGCCAAAGCACTAGGCTGCCCATCGGGAGACCTGACTGTTATAATTTTATTTCAGCCTAGGTCTGCCACTGGTTTTGCAAGTGCCTTTGAGCAAGTCATTTCTTTCCAGCTTCCCATTTATAGTCAGAATACTACTAATACTGCCGCCCTCCTTGGGAATGCTCATTGGACGTATGGGTGTGAAGCCCTGATTCTCTGTGAGGTATTGTTAGCTATTGTCTGCCTGTGCCTGTGCTGGTCCACTAACAGTAAAAATTGTGAGTGTGTAAATTCCTAAAAACTGCTATTGCAAATGCTTGCATGAAAGGAACAATAAAGACAATACCTCATTCACCATTACTATTGCTGCTGGATCTGGGCATTCCAGGTCACCTGGCAGCACAGATGGGATACCATCAGGAGAGGATTCACAATTAGCATTTTTGACAGGCTATCTAGAACAAATAATAACATTTATTCCATTCTAATACTTGCTGATATTCCACCCTGTGTCATAGCTACCATAAGTTAGAAGGCTGAGACAAACAGCGCCTCATTTGGCATGACACTGCCACAGTGAGATGACCCTTTCACATGTTTTTAATAACTTTGGGGCAGCAGTGAGTTGGTGTAGGTTCAGCACTGTACATAACCAGCCTTGATGGCTCTGACCTATGAGGAACTGCCCTACAGGCAAGTTTGCTGTCTTGTGAAACCTCATCCTTCACTGAAATCAGGCGCCTCAGCTCCAACAGAAACCTCAGCCAGTGATGTCCTTTTAACATCATTTCCTCTGAGTGACCAGTGCTAATCGTTGCTGTTTACCTTACACATGTTTCACATACTTGTCATTCATCAGAAAGTGCTGCCCAGCACCGAGGCATTTTGACAGCACTAGAGGCTACACGTCCGTTTCCTACACATCCTTTGACAAGGGATCTCCAACAGGCAGGGGCTGATGCATGCACAGATAAACTGGCATGTCGATAAACTGGCCAGCTGTGTTCCTGCAGTAACTCCTCTCAGTATGTCAGCACTTCGGTCAACAACACAGCTTTGCTCTTAAAACACGCAGCCAGTGCACATATATATTTGTTTTCAAAATAGCATACATCATTTTCACTTTCAGAAGAAGTTACAATTATCCTTTCTTCCAAAAGTAAACTTGTGGCATTTTTCATAGGTTTGCTACTTTTCACAAACTGCTGCTTTGTGCATAAAAGGGCAGTGTGAGGGAACGGGACTGGGACAGGACCTCTCTCCCACTCAAACTGTGGATTTCTTTCCATTTTTTTCTAGTCTCACTTGCTCAGATGAGCACACATATGGCTACGTTCAAACATAGGGTGTATTATTGCAAAGCTATACAAGAGTATTACAAGACTGCGTTTTAAAAGGGAAAAAAAAATAATTTACCCTATTAAACTGAGTGAAATTCATCCTAGTGCCATATGCCCACAAAAGTAGCTGAACCACATATGTCATATGTAGGCTCCTTTTTGAAAGCAGAGGCATGCTGTCTTACAGATGGTTCTCCCTCTCGTTCTCACCCAAGGAAAGCTTTTCCAGAGTGGAATAAATACTGCAATAGATATCAGCTAATTTCTTTATTCTTGTGATGCTACTACAAAAATATGTTCATATCCTGATCCCATCCAGAACTGCTTTTACAGATGCTGCCTATCCAGAACTACTTTGTATGGATGTGACTTAGAGCAAGCACCAGTTTCAGCTGTGACAGGTAAAGAGAGGGGCTCATGCTCCAGTCTCCCCAGTGCCCTCAGCTTTGCTTCTGCTTCCCCCTGCAAACCCTTGACGTTAGTGCAGCAGAAGAGCTACCAGCACCCCCTTGCACTACATGCATTTGCTCTCACCAGTGCTCAGTGCAGAAAGGGTAATGCCACCTCCCATGAAATAGCTTTCTTCAGCTCCTCCTGCTGCTGCCAGTGAAGGTCTAACCCATTACCTTGTTCCTCATTGTAGCTTTCATAAACTTGGTGAGTTGCCACTTCTCCATTGTCATTTGTCATCCTTTAAAAAAATAAACTCTTAGCCCCACAAGCCAGGAAAAAAGCCTTTTATTTACAACATTCATGAACAAAAAAGATTTTTAAGTAGATGACATCTCAAAAATGATGCAGCACCAAAAAACTGGATAGCCAAGTAGGCAAGGGACATCCTGACTGCATTGACTGCTTTGCAACTCCCGTGTCTCCTCTTCAAACCCACAGAAACAGCCTGCTGAGGTTTTTCTTCTGGGCAAAGCCCTGAAGCTGACCTTAGGCCCAGGAGTCCAGGACCATTTTCTCCCCATTTCTTACCCTGCCAGAAGTTAAGGCATACCAAGAAGTACACTGGCGATTTTCCTTACTTTACAGATGAGGCATGGGATAACCTTTAGGTCTGGTAAAAGCTAAGGTCATTTTGAGATACACATTGAGGCAGGTTCAAGAGAAGATCTTGGTCTCCACACTTAAATCCTAGTGGCTGGTTCCTGCTGGAGCCCCATATAACAAAATGGTGGAGACCTCAACACTGAACTCAATGGACATACATCTAGGAGCAGTCTCATCACATAGGGCACGGGGGCACTTACCTCTGCCAGCAATTTGATGTAAGGCAGATTCAGAAAGAGTGAGAGGTGATCTCTACAACACCTCCACATCACCAGTGACCAGGAGCATGTCCCATCCATTCTGCCAATAGGTGCTGTGGCACAGCCTCTGGGTTTATTATTATTGATGGAAGATAGGAACAGCCTTGGCTCATAAATTTCTTCAGGGTCTTCCTCCAGGGTGTGTCCTCCCCATCTAAGTTTTCACAGGGAGGGTGTTAAATCTTCCTGTGACAACAACTGGTACACTGAGCACCTTCTCATAGAGAGCAGGTGTTGTGTCTTCAGCATAATTATCTATCAGGCTAGATCAATGGAGACAGACTGGACAAATGTGGCGGGGGGGAGGTCCAAAGAGAATGAGCAAATAAAGAACTTTTGGTTGCTGAAGTTCCTAAGCCACTCCACATAAGGCAATGAAGTTACCACAACACAGAAGATTTTGTTTGCTTCTTCCTGACCTACACATCCATTAAAGAGTGACAGGGAATCTGGTCACCATCTTTCATATAAAAATAATTGACAGTTAGGAAATTAATTCCTCAAAGCGACTTTGAAAGCCTCAACTAAGATGCCTGAGATGATTTCTTTCTAAGAACTGTTAGTGTAGAAAAAGCTCAGGGACTGTCAACCCTTGCAAGTCCCCCTGATATCAGTAGGAGTTCTGCACTTACCACTACAGCTGGGATTTCACTGTTTGTAAAATGGATTTAAAGGAATAAAAACAGTATACAGAGTATAAACTGATCATTTAGAAAATCATAGTAAGTGTTTCTTATCAGTGTACATTAACTACAATAATTATAACCACCCTGATGGTAGGAAAAGAGAACATTTATGTAATTTGCTGACTAATTTCCCCCTTGCACATGCAATTAAAAATCACTTAAAGGCTACTATAATAGTAACAAATATCTAACCAACAAATGTCAAAGGCTGTAGTCTTATCACATTAGTTTTGGAAGCCTTTTACATAACTTTCATAATTTAAATATTTACAAAATATAAACTTTCTTGTCTTATCAAAAATAGGTCTTTTTACATTTAAACAACAGAAATCCTTTCACATGATGCTTTTTAAACCTGGCATTAAATCACTGCATAAAAATAAACAACCTTTCACAGCTGTAAAATGAAGCTGAGACAACATATGGAAGTGGAGAAAATGTTATCAATGACAGTTTAAGTATTTTAGTGGTGTGAGTCAATCCGTGAAATACATTGTGCATTGAACTTACTTAGGGTGCAGACTAACGAGAAGCTCTAGCATTGAGTCCTATAACAGAAAGTAATGCTTAGAAAACCATTTCACTTTATGGCAGATTTCTTTGGGCTGAATCTCACATGGTTATTTGTGAAGATGACGGCGAACCACCAGTGAGATGGTTGAACATGGCAGGTTGTTGCATATAGTCCAACAGTGGGCAACGACCGACTGACTCGCAAATGGTGTGTTCAGATACTGAGGAAATGCCTGCAAAGGATTTTATTTCCTTTAAATACCAGACTGCATTTCTGGCCCTCCTCAGACCTGTCCTTTGTCCATTTGAAAGGCAACCTATGAAAAATCTTAAGGCACACCATCCATGTTCCTCGAGCTCTGCTCCAACCCATCTGAAATGGACACAGCTTGGTCCATACCAGTGGACCCTCCTCCTCTACCCAGGCAGTGCTTGGCTGTTGGCAGTCATGCATGTTTCCCAATGCCAGATGGTTTCCTGCATATTATGCAGAAGACAGCTTTCTGAACAGTTACAAAGCAAAGATTTTATGGTCAACAGCAGAACATTTCCCCTATCTTTGCTTTTTCTCTCTAAAGCCTGCAGAAATGAACCATCTAGTAGGTCCATCTAGCCCCAGTTTTAATATTACAGGCATAAGGGTTATATCTAATGTCGATATCTTACGTACACATGTATCTTACACACCCTCCTACTCTTCAGTTTCCGACTAAGAAGATCTTGAGTTTTCTCCATTGTATCTACCAACTACATGGATCTTCAGGACATTGTGGCTATCAAAAACTTGGAAAGCTCAGTGTCTGTCCCTGCTTATGGAGTTCAAATGTGTCATCAGGAGTCCTTTTTCGTTGTTTTAGCTGTACCTGTGTGCAGGCTGCTGTTCGATTGGTTGCTCTGCATACACCAAATGCTTGGGCTACCCGTTGTTTGGTAATACCCATTCCCCCTGAGGCTGATGCTCCTGCAATTCCACATGGCAAGAGTAATTGCTGCCCGTGCGGCAGTTGTGTGTACCAAGCAGTGCAGGATGGTTGGTGTGCTCTCTGCACTTATTTGCAGGTGTGTACATCGGTCATGGTCTCGCATCTCCGGCAGCGCACGTAGCAGCACCACACAAACTTGCACTCACACCTCTCCACGTGCCTGACAACGTGGGTGTTGTACCCCCGCCCACAGCAGAGGAGGTTGCAGCCGTCAGGTCCCTCCGAGGTGCGATTACATTCCCTTCCCTGAGTTCCAGGGATCCCCAGTTTTTGGTCTTCAACACAATAGTTGGGTGATTTGTTCACATACAGCAGGTCTTCTTTCCCAATTGGTATTTTTCGTTGGCTTTTCTCTTTCCTGCGTAGCTTTTTTTTCAGTCTGTCTGATATTTGTATGCTGTTTTCATATTTATCCTTTAAAAAACGGCCAATCTTTTCAAAGGAGGACATTGTTTTCCAACAGGTTTTCACAGCACAGGACCCAGAAACACCATGACAACGGCAATCCACTGACATCAGCTTCGCTACAGCCTGAAAGCAAAGCAGAGACGACATTTGGATGTGGTCCTTTGTTCCTTAGGAATACTGCCTGACATCAGTAACACAGAGGTTTCAAAGTATTACAGCTGCCATTGCCATTTCAGTGGTGGAGAAGCCAGAGCACAAGAGGATACACGTTAGAAATCAGGTTTTCAACTCCAAACCCCCACTATGAGAAGCCTGATCTTCAGAAGTGATCTACATTTGCACTTTGCAATGGCAATTACATAGCAATATCAAATAATAATAAGAAAAGCTTGTATTTCTGGCTGGCTTTTCATTCTGGAGGCTCCAAAATACCTGAAGCGACACGTCCTGTGTCACTCCTCCCACTGATGGAATGCAAACAGCCCTTACGGGGAATAGTAGGAGGGGGAGCAGGGATAGGGCAGGTAACGGCACTGTTCCTATGTTGGAAAACATTTACTGGGCACGTCTATGCCATCTTTTAAGGGTGCCTTAAAGCTACCATCAAGATCACTAAACATTCACAGCACAGTATGCAACTAAGGCCAGGGGAATGGCTTGAGGTTACACAAGTGTGTGAATAGTGTGGCTCAGCATCCAAAGAATTGCAGCATACAGGCTGCAGGCTCCTCAGGGCAGACCTGTGTTGAAATAGCAGGAGAATGCCCACATCTCTGAGCTCCATAGGAAGTCTGTCAAAGGAGCCACTATAGTGCAGCAGAGGTGGCCTGAACTCGGTATTCAGTAAATCTCAGACGCTTCTCATTTACAGGATGAAGTCCTGATCTTGTAATATAGGCATACTAGTACTATCATGGGTTTCCAGTGTTTACAGTTGAATAATGGCTCTATTTAACACCATTTGATATTCATACTATCATAATAGTAGTCATAATATCATCAGTAGTCAATAGTAGTCATAATACCATAGTATCATAATAATACTATTCATTCATACTACTTTCATAACTTCCAGTGTTTTAGCAAGATTTCCACAGTTATTACCAACATTAAAATACCCTGACATGGGCTATTTTTCTATGGCCAAGCAAAAGGAAGCACTGGACTGAAAAGTAACTGGGAATCTGCAGCCTGTGTTGAGCTTTTGCAACACACAAGAATTTTGGCTCAGTTTATAGAAGACCCAGCCTTAAAGAACTGGAATCTGTAAACAAGCAGTAACTTTCTTTATCTGGGACTGCAACTCATACAGTCAGCAGATAATCAGTATACTTCCTTATAGAATATCTAATAGTCATAATGTTATTCAATTAGGCTTGTGACACATCTCACATTAGAGTTTGTAAAAGTGTGCAGAAAAAACATTGCTTGCACAGATACAGCACAAGGACAAGGTATCATAATTTTTGCTTTGTTTTACCTTTCCATTACCATACTCTCTGGAGCCATCCTATACACTCATATGAGCCATTGGTTAATGGTGTGGAAAGCCCGTGTTACCATCTTCCATTTTACTAACATTTCCACCTCTCCCCTCCCCATATTTAATCTCCACAATCAAGGCAATTGGGAAATGTAACAGAAAGTGTGAATTTTAAATTAACTTATAATAGTTCTGTCTTGAAACTCTTCATGCAGAAAGGCCAATGAAGATTAAAATTATTCTTCTGTGGAGGAGCAAGTATTTCCCAAAAAATGGGGAAGACACCACCCCCACCCCTGCAATTTCATATTTATTAAATTTCACCCTAAACCTTCATTACCCCACAGTCCCCACAAACATTAACTGAGGTCAATCTCTGTCAAACTGTCCTAGGAAAGGAAAAGAGCAGAAGGCAAATCTACCTAATACCCTCCTCTGTTTTCCCCTGAGAAAGTAGTTTCATTTTCCTGTTCCTACGTCTTGATTCTGCAGTGAGATCAGAGCCCTGAAATCCTACCAAGTTCTACTGACCTTATTCAGGACCAGAAATAAACTCAAGCCAGGCTGCCTATTTGTAGCTCAGGCAGCACAAGTGCAAAAGTTTCAGAGCTAGTCAGGGCATGGAGCAGATAAAATGAGCAGTTTCTACCCTGTGTGTTAAACTCGCACTTTTCATCATGGGGAATGTGGTCTCTGAAGTTTGGGATGAGTCCAATGTGGTTAAATCCATTGATTTCGGTGGGAGTCGAGGCCTCCTGACATGTTCTGCCCCAAAGATATTGACACAAGCCCAAGCTGGTATTTGCATATAACTCTACAAACATTATTAAAACCACACATGACCAAAGTGCTTAGAGTCACATCTTTCTTTGGTGAGTGAACAGGACCTATTTGCTGGTAGAAGTTACTACAGAAGCCAAACAAGGCACTCAAAGAGCCATTATCAACAAAGAACAGGTGTATGCCCTGACCTAGAACAGCCACTAGCCTTTGCAAACTCAGCCTGGTGAAGTGATAGATCATTACAGGAGATGATATTTCCAGATGCTGTAGATTGCTTTTGGGATTGGAGATTTTTCCCTATCCTGGATGAAACATAAGAACATTGAAAAAAGCAGACCCTCACCTCAGAGCACACACAGATTTTTTTCAGTGGCAAATCAACTGTCTGTAATTCTTTTAGATACCTGTCTTCTCTCTTTCCCAGGTTAGTTACTGTTTAATAGACAGACTTGACCTTGTGCTTGTATCTCAAGCATCTATCAATAATCTCAAGAATATATCAATAAGGAAATCACTGGGTAGTCAGAATATGTCATTAAGACTGACAGTGACTGAGGCAGACAAGAATTTGAGATCCAAGGATAGAAAGTCTTTGTTAGAACACAGATAATCTAATAAAATGTCAAGGAAAAGACAAACATGATACCAAAACATAAATTTTACACATGATCTAAAACCAGAAGGGATTTAATAATATTTTCCAATTTCTAACAATTGGTTATTTATACAAAGGCAACTAACTAGAATCTCTGAGTAGTCTGAAATCACATAGTACTATAGGATTTGTAAGGTTACAGTTATAATCCTTGCTTTTACTGCAATATGACAGGGTTCTAATTAGGGAAGAAAGAATAGTGGAAGAATATACAGTTTGGTTTGAGGAAAGAAGTGTAATTCCAAGTCTGATAGAATCAGGCATAATAAAATATGGATGAGGCAGAAGGATCCAGAAATTGTCTGGGAACCACTGGACATGTCTGCTAGGTGCTAAGGGTGAGTTACTTCCATGTAGGCAAGTAGTCCAGCAGTTTATAAACAGGATAAGAAACTGATGTTGGAGTCTCAGGTTGTTATCAAAATATATCATTAAAAATGCAGCATATATTAGCAGTGATTGGTGATCAAATGAATGCTTTGATGCACTCTGTTTCAGAATGATTTATGGTGTCATCAGAATTGTGTATGACCCCAGCCTGTTGCTTCCCAGCTGTTAGGATAGGCAAGTTTTCTGATTGGACTCCAACATATTTTGGGTTGTCTCTACTGCTAGCACAGGGAGCTGACATCTTGCTTTGACTGATGACAAAACATTTCACTGGATCTCAGGCTGCCATGAAAGCTTTAATAAACAAACCCCTGTAGCTGAACATCTAACAACATTCAGGTACTTCCTGTTTTCTTGCAAGCAAACCTAATATGGTGCCTATAGAGTCAAGGCAGCCTTCTGGTGGGACATGGCTGAACACACACCTGTGTCTGAGCAGTGCAGTTACAGTGATGCACAGTTACTGGGATGCACAGAATTACTGGGAGTGTGACTTCCAGACTGACTCCACAAACAGTGCTCAGTGTCACACCTTTAGATTGACATGATAAATCTTTCCAGTTATTTATGAAATTGTGAGAGGATTCTCCCTAAGGAACAGAATTTCATAGAGAACTTCAAAGGAGTACTGTTACTCACAGAAATGTGGTGGAAAGAAGTGTCCTGTGCAAGATGGGACAGGTTTTCAGTTTTCTTGGGCGGATCATGAAACTGACTGACTTCTTGTGAGAAATGACCAGTGTGCAACTGAGATTGGTCTGCAGTGAAGGAGGGTCACTTGGATTACAGTTTGCATACCCCTTGATGCCAATTAATGCTTAGCATCTCCAAGCTAAGCTCTCTGTTTGTAGGCAGTGTACTCAGCTGTGAGACAGGGGCTGATAGTACTTGTTTTGCAATGGGAGCCAATGGCTATAATCAAACAGCCTAATTTAACCCACTGGCAGAACTAATAGGACTATTTATGAAGACAAGCACATGTCCTCCTGGAGGTACAGCACTTATGAACTGTTGCAGACTGCTGGTAGGTCTGTTACCAACCCACAAGTATCAGTAAAACCCTGATGAACGAAGCTGTCAGTGTGAAAACACAAGCCCTGCAGATCAAATAGATTTCCACAACTGGAAAATTAACTAAGCAGAATTTTTCTTCAGTAAAAAAATACTACTACAATAATAGTCAAACCATAGTGCCTGACTCGCCCTTATACCTTTATGTAAGGAGCAGAGTTGCACAACTCACATATGCACATCGAAGTACGGTGAACACTGCAGTGCTAAAAGATGGACATTTATCTTGTGGCAGAATAACAACTGAAACTGGAACCTTCTGAGGTTCAGGTTAGCATCCTAAACAGTGGATAATTCAGTAAAAGGATTCCTACTGTTTCAAACTTTATATATTTTGGATTTAACTAAGAGATGTAGAAATAGCATTTTGTACAGAAATGAGAAAGTAACAAGAGAATTCTGCACATACCAGTTCCATTAGTAACTCCAAACAAATATGGAAGTATTTTGCCTGAAAGACTGCTCTTGCAAGACACAGAACCAGGAACATGATATTATTTATTACAAAAGGTCATAAGGTACCAGAACATATTGCAAAACGTCCTTCTTGTAAGCTCCCGAACATGAAGGCCAGCATTTTCCAACATCTCCTAGTTAAGGATTTTGGAACTACAGAAGAGTTCTCTAAACTTACTTCAGCTGATATTGCTGTTAGAAATTCCAGGTACCAACAATAAACATTCTCTTTCACTCTGGACAGCAGTCAAAAATATTTGCTTTATCCTACAGTTTGCCATTAAGTTACAAAATGTTTATGCACAGAAGCTGAGTAAATACGTATTTTCTTCCAAGGTAACGTACAACAAATACACCATTGAAGCAAAATCAGTGAAATAAGTGTCTTCTGGCCTTTCAGGCTTGCAGAAGGTGCTGGGTTAACTATAGAATCATAGAATCATAGAATAGTTATGGTTGGAAAAGACCTTGAGATCATCAAGTTCCAACACCCCTGCCATGGGCAGGGATGCCTCAAACTAGACCATGTCACCCAAGGCTCGGTCCAACCTGGCCTTGAACACTGCCAGGGATGGAGCATTTACCATTTCTTTAGGCAACCCATTCCAGTGCCTCACCACCCTCACAGTAAAGAACTTCTTCCTTATATCTAATCTGAACTTTCTCTGTTTAAGTTTTAACCCATTCCCCCTTGTCCTATCGCTTCAGTCCCTGATGAAGAGTCCCTCTCCAGTATCCCTGTAGGCCCCCTTCAGATACTGGAGCACTGCTATGAGGTCTCCATTCAGCCTATCTCTCTCTACAAATGTGATTAATTACCCTTTGCTCTTTCCCTAAAGAATAACCACTTAATCTTCTGCTTCTTATCAACATTCTCTACTACACAATACCAACCACCTTTCCTTGGAAATGATTTAGCTGACTGACATCAAAATAGACTCACAGTAACTGTTCTCAGTTTACTTAGGTTCAAAGTTTGCTTCTTGTATTTCAGTCTTAAAAAGGGCCTATGTCCCTGACAGATTTTCTGGTTTTCCAACTTAATTAAATTAAATAACATATATAACCTTGTAAACTGTAAAAATTAGTTTAAATTAGAATACTTTGCAACAATATCATCATGGTTCTTCCCCATCTATGGCAGATAGAGCAGTTATTTTCAGTAAAACCCACTGATGCTGCTTTTGGCTACAGGAAATTACTGAGTTACAATGGAGTCCATCAATATATGTAGTCAAAACCAGAGGGTGTCTTTTCTTTCATTACAGCTGTGTCACTGAGCAGAACAGATTTAAAGTATTATGGGGCCAGACAGACCCATTAAACATGAAGTTAAAAACTCCAAGGTAAAGCAGAGAAAGTGATTTTAAAGCAAGAACCAGAATCCAAGTCTCTGCTATTCCAGACATAAGCCCCAAGCACTAGTTTACAGGCTCATATACTGGCTGTTTCTGCTCCCATTCATCAGTGTTTGCAAACCAGTGTCACACACACATACACACACATTTCCTCTGCAAGCATGGATTTGAAGTCCTTTGAGCTGAAGAAGAGCTATCTGAAGCCAGTCTCTTCTCACTTCTCTGATAAGTGCCCTAACCAATGGGTTGCTTTGAAACAGAGACATCATTTCCATCCAACCTTTTAAAAGAAAAGGTTAACTTGATTTCTCCTGAATGATTTTAGACTCCTACTCTTAGGCACAGACCTGAGACTGTGGATGGGTAATGATGCCTCATGTCTGCTCTGCCTTCTCATTCAGTATTAAATTGAATACTGAATTAAAAATGCAGGAAATGATAATAGTGGAATAATCAGTGACAAAGCTCCTAATGTATTATGCTGATAACGTTTCAAGTTTGCTACAGAATATCAAATATCTACTTAAGATAACTCTGATTAGCACTCCGGATGCAATTCTTACTTTGTGGATTTTATTTTAACATGTGGAGTTTAGTTATCTGGCTAAAACCAGCTCTGATTCCAACTTTGTACATGTTTGCATTGGTGACTTTAGTGCTGTTCTTGCCAGTGGCCCCATTTGTACCTGCAGTCAGGGACAAGCCTTGTTTGATTGACGCCATTTTGTCAATGAAGGTGAACAAGGAATTGCTGCCATTTCTGAACAGTGACACATACCTGCCTCCCGGCCTCGTTGTTGTGCAGGTTCATCGCCACCAGCCCGCTCCTGCCCGTTATGTTTTTGATGGGCATGTCCAGGAACTTTCTGCTGAATGACATTCCATAGTGGATGTCGTCGGAGCAGCCGCCCCAGTGCCAGCCCTCGACGGCCGAGCCGCCGTGCCGCAGGTTCGTGTCACAGGAACACTCAGTCACGTTTCCTGCGCTGCACGACCGCGTCACCGAATGCACGAGGCCTGCCGATGTCACTGCTGATATGAACGCAGTCTCCTTCGTGCCTATAAAGCAAGGTGTGGGTACGTTACTTCATCACTCCCTTTGATTACCTCCATAGCAGAGCTCTAGAAAGCCATTTTACAAGTCAGACCATTATTAAAAAGGAACAGTTGCAAGTTTAAAGCCATCACAGCATGGTCTGTCGAGTTAACTTCTTTAAAGCAGTGGATATTCACATCCAAAAAAGACTTCAAGGCCTCTTTGCATGACCACGCTATTAATGATGCTGTTTCTGGCTGCCTGCACCATGCAATTTTTGGTAACTCCTTTCTAAATCTGGTTAGGAACTTTATTCGCCACAGAAACTTTCAAGTGAATTTGCTTTTAATAACAATAATAAAAAATATCAACCCCCAAACGAACCATACCCCAACCCCATTTCTCTCCAAACTGCTTTTCACTACTCACATTCATTTGAAGAAGAAAAAGTTAGTTCAGACCTCAGAGGAGGAACTTGAAGCTGTCACAATCCCAGGTTACTTTGGTATAGGGCCAGAACTTACCTCATGCTAAGTTTAGTAAATATCGAGGTTGTTCTAATTCACAAAGGTTGCAAACAGCACCAAGAACCTTAAACAAGGCAGAAATCAGAATGGCACAAGGATAATTAGGCCATGTGCTTTTCCTAGAATAAGCTGGCCATGGGAAAGACAGCAGTGTAAAAAACCTTTAACTGTTAGGCTATAGCTCAGAAGAATCATGGAGGGACCTGCCTGGGCCTCTTAAGCTCTGAGACTTCTGAGATACTGTAGCACAGCTCCATAAGCGTTAAGCAAGACGTATACTCTCTAAGCAAACTGAAAATCAATGACTGGCCATTAACTGTAACTGAAATTTCACTGTACTAATTTTCATTGGTGTAAAAACAATGTGCTATTTCCAGTGTCCCAAGTTTCTGCTCACAGGCAGAAAAGTTCCTGTTTGTTTCTCCTGTTCATATTAATCGGTGGTGCTGGCAACCTCACAAAATGCTTCAACAGGACATACTAGTGACACTCTGTGGGTTAGTAGTGCTGCTCAATTATGGGTCTGCAGGTGTAGTCCTTCCCACTGGACAGAAGGACTGACATACAGCATGTATGACTACATGCAGTAGGGTAAACTGCCCCCTGCTTTTTGTTTGTTGGTTTATTTTCTTTACATTTTTGGAATATGCATCATTTTTTATTGCACATGTTACATTTTTGTGGTTAATGGTTGTTTTTTTTCCAATGTCACAGCATAAAGTGAAGACTGTACAAATACAAAATGAAGTAGTAAAATAGTTCAGTTCACATCAATGCCTGCACCAAAATCATCGAGCAGAGTGCTCAAAACAAACTTGCAGGATCAAGACCCTCCACCTGATACAAACAAAGTGTCCCAATTTCAGCCTAAATTTCAGCAATTCCATCATTAGCTCCAGTGCTTTCAAGCAGCTCTGGTCTTGCTCTGCTGAGCAATACCACCTAACTGAGCACATTTTAAAGTAATTCACATCGCATACAGTGCTGTGAGCAGATTTTTACCTGCAATGAAGTGACCTTTTCGAAATACTATGTGTCATTACCCCACTCATCGAGTAATTATGACATAAGGGGGTAAAGCCGACATCAGTCTAAGAATAACAACATTTCAACACAGTTAAGTAGATCTAGTTAAAGGCGCTGTCATCCTCGGACCTATTAAGCAAATTACAGTAAGGAACAACGATTTTGGAAATGCGATGGTAGGCTGTGTCTGCTCCCTGCTTTTCGTGTACCTGTGACAGGTTCCCGGGGCGGATGCGGTAACCTCCCACTACCACGCCCGGTCCCTGAGCCCGCCCCGCCGGAGCCCGGTCCCCCACCGGCACCTGCGGCCCCGCGGCCCCGGCAGGGCAGACACTCACCGCTGCTGAGCTGGTGCCCGAAGGCGGCAGCGGTGGCGGCGGGTCCTCGGCGGACGTTGGGTGGCGGACGGCAGTCCCAGCGCTCGTGTCGGAACTGGCTGCGGCACTCCTGGAGGCCCAGGCGCGCTCCCTCCCGGATGGCGGGCACCAGCTCCGGCTTCTGCTTGCACAGCTCCTGCTGCCGGCGGCTCAGCGGCGGGCTGGCGCAGCCCGGCTTCTCCGGCCCGCCGGCGGCAGCGATGCCCAGCCACCTGCAGAAGCAGCCCCTTCGTCAGCTTCGGGCCCCGAGGGGACGGACGGGCTCCGCGCAGCCACCCCATCCCGCGCCCAGCTACTCACATCCAGGTGCCGCCGGCGGCGGCAGGGCAGAGGGAGATCAGCATCGCTGCCAGCAGCAGCCGCGGTCCGAGATCTGCCCCGCGCCCCATGACCGCCGCATCGAGCCCCGCTGCGCTGCCGCTGCCCGCCGCCGGCTCCCCGGGCAGCAGGGACCGAGCAGGACCGTTGCCGGTGGAGCACACCTACTCGGCGCTCTCCTCCTCGAGGGGCAGGCTGCAGTCGTCGGGGGAAGCCCGGGCCGTCGGAGAGCCTTGCCGGGGAGGACGGGCTGGAGGGGAGGGCAGCTGGAGGGAAATCATTGGGAGCTCCTGATGCCCTTCAAGGTGAGAAAGTTGGGTTCGAGGTTCTCCCCGGCTCTGCCTCCCCCGACCGCGCATTGGCCGCCCGGGACCGGGGCGGGCCGGGGCGGGGCGCGGAGGAGCTCAGCGGTACCGCACCGCACCACACCGCTGTGCCCCGCCAGGCCTGGTGCCGCTGCTCGCCAGCCCCACTGAGGGGCTGCCCCTTCCCTCGGGAAAGCGCTGCGAGCGGCTGCGAAGAGCGCTGGCGGATGGCCGGCGAGACAGAGCGGGGCTGCAGGAGGGGAAACCGGTACGTCTGCAGTGATTTCATCACATTTCTGTGGAAGAGAAGGCACAAAATGCTGATGTTAATAAATCGTAACATCCACGGCACTTTTAATTCAAATTTCCTAGTGCTTTAGCAGTATTAACTGCCTGGCTCCACAGTCAGCATCAGTAGCCATTAGGACAAAATTTGTCCACTCCTGTTAACTTCAGTGAGACGCTCTTATCAACTACTGCCTCAACAATAGTTAGTTACTCATTTTACACATTAACAGCCAATGAGTCAGCTAGCACCTGGTGAAGAGCTGGTGTTGGCACTCTGGACTTTAAAGTCCAATTTGATCCTGCTATATTTCTGCTTCCTTCTGTGTAAGTGAAACACCTGCACTAAACATAATCTGGATGAGACGGCAGCACTGTAAAGACTTTGACTTGACACAGTTGTAAATCAGCTAAATAGCTCTTGTTGACTGACAACATCTCCAAGTGAAGAGCACAACAAATAATTTCAAATGATAGATGTACATATTTAAGAGTACAACATGTTGAGAAATAACCACATAAATGTGATGCTCGCCATCACTTTTTCCCGTGGATGTGCTGAGATATTTTAAGAGCACAGGCTGTGGTACATTTAGATCAAATTTAGACAAATTATATCTCCTTCCTACTCTGTGCTCATTTGCCTGCTCTTAAAAGGGTTTCCAAAAGCATCGCCAGTTCTGGCCAGATGCCACATGACCCCATGAGCCATTTAAACCTTTGGATATGGCTTGGTTTCTCTGTTTCAAATTTTAGTCTGGAGAGCATCTGCTTGTGGTTGCAGAGGAACTTAGTTCAGAGTGAGGGAAATGCATGGAGGACGACATGGGAACACAGGGAACGGGCTGTGAAACAGGCCTGGACCAGCCAAAACTGTGTGGGCTGTGTCAGAGAATTATCTAATTATTCCAGGACACATGGTTCATTTTATCCTCACTGCTGCTTCCTGGCTCCACCTACCAAAGTTAATTCAAAGCCCTGGTCTAGCAGCTGTGTATTTCTTATGTGCTTCTTGATCTGCTATATGCATTTATCAACTGCTTTGAAAGGGTTTGTTTTCCTGCCAGTTCTTTTATTTAACAGGGGTCACTGTGATTTGAGGTTTTGTTTGTTTGCTTGTTTAGGATTTTTGTATTGTTGGTTCTTAAGTTTTATTTTAATTAATATGGAGCTTTTGGTCATAAATTCTTATTTATTTTTTTCTAGAACCTGCAGTATCTTATATGCAATAGCAATGGAAGATTTAAATCAGAAAAATATCAATTAAAAAAAATCTGGTCGTATTTGTAGCATATTTTATATATGATACCATAAATAAATTACTCCTCTGTTGCATTTCCATATGCGTGATCTGATTTTGTCTACATGTTTTAAGTACAGAAACTGCTAAATTTTTAGGAAAACCCTTTGATCCTATACACTTGTATAAGGTTAAACAGTTGCAATTTGGAGATCTGATGCTAAAAAAAAATCCCGCTATAAACTGTAAGGGACTTCTTGAGATCATCCAATTCAATAGTTAGCAGTGACTGGAAGCAAACCACATTTTCCCATGACCATCTGATTTAAAGAAGTTTGGATTATTATATATCTGTGTCCTAGCCCCCATTTGCCTTTCTTCCCACTTCTTTCTCTTACAACCACTCCCCCATTACACACAGCCCCTGCATCTCCTCTCTGGCTGTTGCAGCCTGGTTGCCCACCAGATCCTGCAACCCTTGCCCTTCTCCTGCCTCTCAGCTTCCTGCCTGCCGTTTACACCACCTCTCTTCTTTGTTGCACCCAGCAGTACTCTTCTCTCCAGGCAGAAGCAGCACATACGGGAGTATTCCTGTTAGACCAGAGCTGTGTGACTGCATATAGGTTGGTCGGCTACCAGAAACGGAAGGGCAAACAAATTACTTTGAAAGTTTCGTACTCTGCAAACCTGCAAAGGACCACAATTCGGAAATACCTTGCTGATCTACTAAAATGTATTGAAATTTGCCAAATGCTTTTAAAGTCTGTAATTCTAATTCACTGATGCTTCAGAGACCTCTGTGCTGGAAGACCATTCAGCCCATGAAAGACAGAACAGAGGTGTGATGCAGAGACAATGAACCAGAATCCAAGCTAAGGTCAAGTGCCAAGCCACAGAGATCAAAATTTACTATAAATCAGGGAAGATAAATTAGATTTACTGCTTATCTAACTTTCTCTGGCCAAGGTGGGGCTATCTATTCATAATAAAATGCCCATAATATTCTACATTAAAAAGAAGACAATAAATTGTTATTAAAAGAAAAAAAAAGGAAGGAAATGTGTCTAAGCTTAGTGGTATTTCTTGAATGGACATTTACTAATTTACTGATTTAGCAGTAAGTAAGCAGTAACTTATTTAATGATGATTAAAGTGGTCTGGACAGCATCAGTTCCAGATATATGTGTGTATATATATATACACATATGATTTACTGTTAGATAAGGAAAAATGCTCTGTTGTACAGAATCTGTGGGAATAAGCAGATCACAAAGAATAGTATGCTTCACAGATAGACCAATTATCTCTGAAAAGTTAGTGGCCCGTGCTCTCACCATAACCAAGGTCTGCCATCTTATTTACTAGGTGCAAATACACACAAAGTTAAATTCTCCTATACAAGTTGCCGCTTTTGAAAGCTTCCTTTACATTTTCTTTGCTCTCCTGGAACTTCTGATGCCCATCAGGGACATAAAAACAACACTGCAGTCTTAATTATCCTACCGATACATATGGGCTCTACTACTAACCAGTGTGGGCATTACCTGTTATAGAATCATAGAATAGTTAGGGTTGGAAAGGACCTTAAGATCATCAAGTTCCAACCCCCCTGCCATGGGCAGGGACACCTCGCTCTAAACCATATCACCCAAGGCCTCGTCCAACCTGGCCTTGAACACTGCCAGGGATGGAGCATTCACAACTTCCCCGGGCAACCCATTCCAGTGCCTCACCACCCTAACAGGAAAGAATTTCCTCCTTATATCCAATCTAAACTTCCCCTGTTTTAAGTTTTAACTCATTACCCCTTGTCCTACCACTACAGTCCCTAATGAAGAGTCCCTCCTCAGCATCCCTATAGGCCCCCTTCAGATACTAGAAGGCTGCTATGAGGTTTCCACGCAGCCTTCTCTTCTCCAGGCTGAACAGCCCCAACTTTCTCAGCTGATCTTCATACGGGAGGTGCTCCAGTCCCCTGATCATTCTCATGGCCCTCCTCTGGACTTGTTCCAACAGAGATCCATGTCCTTTTTATGTTGAAGACACCAGAACTGCACACAATACTCCAAGTGACGTCTCACAAGAGCAGAATAAAGGGGCAGGATCACTTCCTTCGACCTGCTGGTCACACTCCTTTTGATGCAGCCCAGGATACGGTTGGCTTTCTGGGCTGCAAGCGCACACTGCTGGCTCATGTTCATTTTCTCATCGACCAGCACCCCCAAGTCCTTCTCTGCAGGGCTGCTCTGAATCTCTTCTCTGCCCAGCCTGTAGCTGTGCCGGGGATTGCTCCGACCCAGGTGTAGGACCTTGCAGTTGGCATGGTTAAACATCATGAGCTTGGCATCAGCCCACCTCACAAGCGTGTCAAGGTCCCTCTGGATGGCATTCCTTCCCTCCAGCGTATCAACAGAACCACACAGCTTGGTGTCATCGGCAAACTTGCTGAGGGTGCACGCAATCCCACTGTCCATGTCAGCGATGAAGATGTTGAACAAGACTGTATCTTAAAATCTTAAAAACAAGACAGTATCTTAAAATACTGAGCAGAAATAAACCTGCCATCCAAACAGGAAAAACTCCCATATTCTCTAAATCAGATTATCCCTTCAGCTATGAAATCTTACCATGTTTGGTGACCAAGCACAAATTCTGTAGTGCGCTTTCAATTCACCTCAGTGTCTGGCTGCACAGTGGCATCCAGCAGCCCTGAGAATCACGGATCCAATGAGTCTTTGCAGTGAAGAAACTGGAACAGTGTCAGCAAAATAGTGGCATCCAAGCAGAGCTGTTGCACTATGAGGGCTGTGAGAGCTCTGTACCCTTAGCAAGAAGGGATATGAGGAGAGCAGTGCAGTGAGACCCCAGCCTTTAAAGGGGTCCTTACACTCTTGGTACAATGCCTCCTTACATTGCAGCATTTCTAAAAGATGATGTCTCAACAGGTAAGTCTCAGGCCCTCAGTAAGGTCAAGCTAGTAGTAGAGGGAAGTTAGGAGGAAAACAGAGATGCCCCCTCTCCCATAAATAGTTCCCTGAATCCCTCTGCATTTTGTCCAGAGGTTTTACATTATTTTTGCTATCAGTGCTATTTTTGATTTTGGTACTTATAGCCTGAAAATACACACTTCTGCTACTAATTTAGACCTGGGCATGATAAGTTCACAAGTGACTGGGACAGCAATTAAAGTGCATCTATTAGTGACATGATGGCAGATGGAGAACTAACAAACAGACCTCACAAACATGTAGTGATTCCAGAGCTACCCCTTAATATTATCTTAATAATAGATGCACAACA